CTTGTGTTAGTGAGTGATCTAAGGGGAGACAAATGGTTCAGAAGAGAGACGGGGTAACCGCTAGGAGCAGAGTCCTGGCAGGAGTTGAGGGGACAATGCAATCAGGAGGGAACTGGCCCTGGATGAAAATAGACCCTTCCCCTCTGTTCTAACTGCAGGGATGGCAGAAAACGGAGTCGAGGTCATACCGGTGGGTTGGCAGATTTGGTGGCGGGGAGATGAAGTACTTCTTGTTTGTTGCATTTCTTTGTATTTCTTATATTAGTGAATATATTATATATAGGATATATATATAGGAGAGGAGAAAGAGGACATATGAAACAGTGTTTTGAGAGGAAGAGAAAACGAACACACCCTGGAAATGTATAAGGTTGCTAGACAAAGTTGAGTGCTCTTTTGAGACTTAAAGTCCTGAGTTTCGGGGCTTCCCTGGGGCCCAGTGGTTAAGATTTTACCTTCCAATGTAGGAGAAGCGGGTTCCATCCCTGCTCAGGGCGCTAACATCCCACATGACTTGTGGCCAAAAAAACCCAAAGAACATAAAACACAAGTGGTATTGTAAGAAATTCAATAAAAACTAAAAAAATTAAGCCCTAAGTTTCTGCTGAGACCAGTCAATAGGCCTGGTTGTGTGATTTTCCTCAGTAATGTTCAACTGCTTGGGTACAGGAGAAGCGTGGGTGGCTAGCTGGGTTTAACCAGAGTTTGGGAGTTCGGCGAGTTCCCAAATTGAGAGAGGCAAAGAAAATGAGTGTTTGTAAGAGACAGATCACAGTAATAAGGAAGAAGTGGTCACATGTAGAGCATGGTGTACAATAAAAACTTATTTGGTGGATTAGGTGCCTGTGAGCTCAAAGAATAGTTGGAATGCAGGTTCCACAAAAAAGTTAATTGGAAAGATAGGAGGCATCAGAGACTGAGATGCCTGAAACGAGATTATTGGAGGTGAATTATCGGTGAGAGCAACATTTAGGTATGAGAATACAAGTGGATGGAGGAGATAGCAAAAGGGTAGCAAGGGATGGGGTCTAACCCCTTTCATTATCAAAGTTGCTGGAGTTTTTGCAGGAGGAAGAAGTAGCCTGGAAGCACCTCCCTTGACCCCAAGATGTGTGAGGTGCAAGAGAAAAAACACCCTTCACTGTTGTCTTTTCCCTTCATCCTTGCCTATAGGCAGGGCTGTGGAGGAGTCAGTATTTTCAGAGACATCCAGATGCCAATGAAGCAAGATAGGGAGGGAACACTCAGGGATGGGTTTCAGGATAGAGGGGCTTGGGCTGGTGACAGACTGCGCTCCAGGGGATACCGGGGAAAGGCTGGGGAGGGTGGGAAGAGGTGGGAGATGGGATTCAACTTGTAGTTATACAGAGTGGTTGGGGGATTCTGATCTGGGACTATGGATAAGGTGGGAAGCAAGGACTTGTGATAGGAGGTGTGACGGGTGTGTTCTGGCCATGTCATCATTAGTTAAAGCCACATACAGTCCAGAGTATTTAGCTGGCAAATATGAGAAGAAAAGGATGAATGAAATGAGCCCTTGTATCCTTGAGATGCCCAGTGCCCTGCCAGACACGTGGCATATTCAATGATTAAAACTGCGTGTATTTGATGCTCTGGTGACTGTAACAGGAGAGGGTCATAACCCAGAGCATTGCATACAATAGGTGCTCAGAACCCTGCAGATAGTGATGATCTCTTACTACCTTTGATTGCTTAATACGGAAATCGTTAGCATTTTAGCCCTTCTGATGAAAGTCCCTTCCTGCATTCCAGACTGACCAGGGGTAGAGGTTGGTTGTATTCTGCCTTAATTGGCAAGGTGTGGACGGCTGAGACAAAGGTGGGGATAGGAAGGTGATCTGTCCAAGGTTGGAGCTGCAAAACACCCCTGTCCCCCAACCTCTGCCCCAGATTGAAGCCCAGCACCCTCCTTGCAAGTCCTACTTTGGAGACACAGAGCAGCTGCACCCATTGGTCAGACTGAGGATGGCCACTCCTGCCCTGGGCCTTTGGCATTCCTTCCTTTCCCCTATAGCTGCTTTTCCCCCAGAATAAATGGTTTCTAATTTTTTAACTCATTTTTTCTAGATTTTTGGGTTTCGTTTGCCTCCTCCTTGCTTCATTGAGGCTGGGCTCAATCTCTGTCTTTTCTTCCCCAGAAAAATGCTTCCCTCCTGTCCCCACCCCTCCCCCACGCCATTAGCTATGAGCCCAGATCTTTCTCTAAGAGGCCTCTAACGTTCCCGCTGATGTTATGCCCCAGTGTCTGAGGTGACCTGGCCTGGTCCCCGTGTGGCTGAGAGAGTGCCCCTTTGTGCTAGCTGATGAAAGGCTGCCCTGTCCTGTCTAGGACCTCAATACCGGGAAGGTAACAGGAGAAAGCCCACTCCTCTCCTTAGGCTCTGCACCTGCTGCTCTCAACTTTCCTCGGGGGCCACAGGGTGCCCGGGCAGGCAGCTTGCTCACTAAGCTTTAGAAGAGCAACCCTAGGAAGCAGGTCCATGAGTCCTTCCTGCCCTGTCCTCTCCAGACAGAATGGGGCCTGCAGAGAGGCTGCCCATCACCCCTGCTCCATCCCCATCCAGCTCATGTTTCTTGCAGGGATTTGGTCTTTCAGTAGAACAATAAGCCTGCTGGGGGGCTGTTCCCCTCTGTGACTGAGAGTTTGAACTACAGAATTTCTGGACTGGAAAATAGCTCATCCTATTAGACATCCTTGCCTTTGGCTGTAGACAGAACAGCATGCAAACCTTCAGACCAGAGTCACTTTCTGAAAGAGACTCTGTGACTTTCCTTGGTAACACATCCTGGTGCTTCAAACTGCAAAAGTTAATTCAGTTCAACCAATGTGTACAGAGTGACTTTTTAAACTGTCATTGTTACATTGCTTCACCTATTATCTCATTAAGTTATTTCATTACTCATTTTTATTATACCATATTTCATTACTCATTTTTATTATACCATACAGGGTATAATATCAGAACTACTGGTGGGGAAACCATGAAAAGTGAATTTCTCTACTTACTCCTGTGCCCCACCCACTCAGATCCCCTTCCCAGAACCGACTGCTACCTTGTCTTGTGTATTTTCCTGTAGCTGTTCCACACACATCTAATCTCACTTCATGTTCACGACAGCCTACTCAGGTGGGTACTGTGAATCCCCTATGGTTCAGAAAGGCTAGGTAAAGTGCACCAAGTGTGTTAGTAGCAGTGGCAATTCCACTTGAGCTTTGTGTAATTCCAAAGCCCACACAGCTTCTGCTCCCATCCCACAGCTTCTGTTCCCATTCAGCCAGCCCACCCTTCCCTTCCACAGTCATTCACTCGGCAGGGTTGGCTCGAAGAGTCAGGGTGTACAGGGCCCTGTCCTAGGTGCTGAAGACTCTCAGACGCCGGGGATCACTTTGGCCTCTACACTTACCAGACTCATGGAGGAGCTTGGCCTCAGGATTTGTATATGACACTCAAGCAGGCCACTCTCTCTTTCTGACTCTGTTTCCCTATCTGTCTGATGGGGCTCAGCTTCCCCATCTGATGAACTTGACTCAGGGGGCTGGTGTCAGAAGTCCTTGGGAAGCATACAATCCCAGCACATGGGAAGGAGTCCAGGGTGTTCCTATGGACGGCTTCCCTGTGTGGGCACCAAGGCTCACCGGCTGATGCAATCAACAGCACAGTACAAGGAGCTGGGATGCGATAAACTGAAGCAGGGTTACCATCATGGTGCTCTTTATTTCAGGCTTATCTTTAGCATGCAGAGTAGGTTGCAACAGGCTGTGACTAGGAGGAAAACGTGGGCAGCATGTGGGGTTGGCCCAGAATGAAAAAGAACACACAAGTGAGTCTCTTCCAAAACATTAGCCTGCAGAGGCTTCCCAGGCCCACCCTGCGCTCTGCATGGTGGACATTCACCTGCCTTCAAGGGCATGTTACCAGCAGACCTTCCTACAGCCTTCCTACAAGTTCCTTCTGCCAGGACTCTCGGGGTGCCCCTCCCAGCCCATCTTCACCTGGCTATCTCTTTTTCATCCTGCAGGCCTCCGCTTAGATCACATTTCCTCAGAGAAGCTTTTTTCCCTGGACTCCCCAGCATAGATTAGGAGCCCCTGCTGTTCATTGCCCCACCCCACCCCCCATGTCTCCTGATTAGCTCATATCACCAGTCACTACCCATCTTGTGCACCAGACTGTCAGCTCCAGGGGAGTGGGCACCAAGCCCATCGTTTGCCTGTGTATCCCCAACGCCCAGCACAGAGCTTAAGACATGCTAAAGTATTTGTTGAATGAACATCTGAAGTTAGTCCCTCCTACCTTTGGGTTCAAACCTTGTCTCTACCTTGTTACAGCACTTCTCACACAGTTGGGAGTTCTAATTTTTTAACACGACTGTCTCATCTGAATCTTCTCCCTTGATATTCCTGGTGCCCAGCCGGCATCATGGCACAGGGGTGTTCCTGCACACCAACTGCTTGCTGAAGGAATAAAGGAGGTAATTCCTGGCAGGGAGCTGCTCAGAACCGCAGGGCATTTCCTTTGCAGACAGTTAAGGAGCTGTCTGCTCAGGTGGGCCCAGGAAATGGGGAACAGGATTACGGGGGAGCTGATGGGGCTGGAGAGAGGAGAAAGAAGAGAGCCTGAGTGCCATCTCCCCGCTTTTACTGCTGCGGTGTGGAGGGCAGAAGATGGCCCCGAGGAAGGAGCCCTGGTCCCCGAAGGGATCCTATCTGAGGGCTCTCGAAGCCCAGTCTCTCACTGGGGTGGGCCTGGCTCAGGGGACCGACCCCGGCTACCCTCGCCGGTCTCCTTCTGGCGGGGGAGGTGGAAAGAGCTGGGGCGGGGTGCGGGGTGGGGGTGACTGAGACCGCCGCCCTCTGGGCTTCCTCCCCCCTCCATCAGTCCCCGAAGCACCAGCCAGAGCTGGGATGAGAGGGGGGTGGCTCGGACCGGGCGGCGGGGAAAGGGCGGCGCGCCCAACCGGCCAGTGTCCTCCGGCAGCTGGAACCAAGGCCCCAGGCTCTCGGCCCCCACGACGCGAGGCGAACCGGGGCTGTGCGGTGAATGCAAAGAGCCAGGCGAGCGCCCAGAGCCGCGCAGCCGACGGCGTCCTCGGCCGCAGCCCAATGAAAAGAGAGCAGATAATTTATTCTCTAATCCCGGTCCGGGTGCCGGGCGCTGGCTAGCGGCGGGGGCTGGTGTGTGTGGGGGGGTCCTCTCCTCCCCGCCCGCCCCCGCCGGCCGCCCCCTCCCCGCCCCCGCCGGCGCCCGGCGCGCACACACACATTTCCTGACAATTAGCGAGCACACCTTGGCCGCGCGGCCTCAGGCGGCGCCGCAGCTTTTGTCTCCCGCCCGCCGGGCTGCGAGGCGCGGGCGCCCGGGCGCGAAGTTGCGGACCCGCCGCGCCGGAATGCCGGCCGCCGGCTGCGGTCGTGGGGAGCGGAGGGCAGGGTGGGGGGCCCAGCGCGCCGGCCCCGGGGCTGGGGGGCTGCCCCAGAGAGGAGAAGAGACAGGAAAAAGTAAGGCAGCGCTGCCCCCTCTTCCTTTGTTATAACCCTGAGTGTGAGCGCGCGCGGGAGTGCCTGTGCGCGAGTGTGTGCGTGCCGATATGCGCGCGCGTGTGAAAACGCATGCCTGCGTGTGCGGGTCGGGGCCGGCCGGGGGCGGCGGGGCCCGAGGGCGCTGGGCGGCCTGGCGGGGAGGGGAGTTGCACCGCGTGCCGGGTCTTTCTCGCTCTGCGCCGAACTCGGGCGAGCGAGCAGGTAGCCGTCCCGCTCTCGCCGGCTTCTCGAAGGACTGAGCTCGGAGTTTGTTCACAGACGAGCGCTGCGCGGGGGAGAAGGGGCGCGCCGGCCTGGGTCCGGCCTGCGGGTGTTGGGGGAGTGGAACCTCCTGCAGAGGATCTGCCCTGACCGCAGGGGGCGCACCTGGGGGGGGGGTCTCCGGGCTTCGAGCGCGGCGCCGCCGCCGCCACGGGCCTTCCCCGCCCGGGGGTGAGAGCTCACGACGGCCCCTGCGAGCCCGGGGAAGGGGTGCGGCTGCGGGGGCGGCTGGTGGGGCTGCGGAGGGCACGGGAGGCGGCGAGACTAAGTCTGTCTAAATGCCAATTCCCCGAAGTTCAGCGCATCGGTTGTCATTTCATACGTTAATGCATATTTATGCTGCGCCGGAACAGGCTTCATAATTAACTCCCGGAGCATCCGCAGAGGTTAAAGGGACCCCGTAGATTTGTGCATTGATTGGGTACCACGGCGGTGTGAGTGTGTGTGTGTGTGTGTGTGTGTGTGTGCGCGCGCGCTCGTGTGTGCGTGCGCCCCGTGCGAACCCATTGAGAAGAATAATTATTTTTCTCCACTGGAAGCTACAGCAGAGAATAAGACAAGGAGTGAAGAGAGAGAGAGATAGGAGGGGAGAGAGAGAGGGAGAAAGAGACAAAGGAAGTGAGTGCGAGAGAGGACACGGCTTAGCATCCGAACTGTGAGTACTGAGCGAAAACAAATAGGCAGAAAGTGCTGCAAACCCCTGGGCCGGGTTGAGGGCCAAGAGGCTGAGGAGGACCCTCTTCTTGGCCAGGGATTTGAGGGGGGGGGCGGTGGGGGGAGTTGGCCGAGCGTTGAGGGCTTCTTGAGCTTTGGGCGGACCCCGGGTTGCGGGCTCAGGCACTCACCTGAAAGCCGGCGCTGACCAACCGCGGGCTGCGTCAACCTGCCGCCCCGGGTCCACCGAAGGGAAGCCCCCTACTCCGCCCGCATTGTCTTTGTTCCCTTTAAAGGATTTTGCTGCTGGTGGGATTCAGTGGGGAGTGTGAGAGGGAGCTGGAGCCCGGTTCTGGAGGGAGCCGAGTCTCCCTTTCCCGGCTGGGAGAGACGCGGGTGCCTCCCGCTTTGCTTTCCCCTCGCTGTAGGGGAGGATGCGGGAAGGGGCTGTGAACAAGGCCAGGATCAGGACTTTGTGACCCCGGTGCATTTGTTTGGCGCTAAGACAGGAAAAGCAGAGGTGTCCGGAACTCTGGGGCAGAAGTCCTCTAGAGCCAGCTCGGTAGGCTGGAGAGGCCATTTCCTCGGGCAAAAGCACCAACTCTTGGCCCTGGATCCTTCTCCCGCCTTGGTGCTCAACCTCGCATCCCTAGAGGAGCAGGAACGCTGGCCTGGGTGGGGCCGGGGGAGGTCGCGACGCCGGGGAGAGCGGCTCCCTTTCCTGAGAGAGGGTCCGCGACGGGGTGCGCCCGGGAACCTGGCTGGCCCCCAGCCCTGGTCTCCGCCGAACTGGTCAGGAGAGGGCGCCTGGGGCCGGAGGGAGAGCCCTCCCTTCCTGACGGACATTCCGTAGCCTTTCGGAAGCTCCAGTATCCTGCTCTTCTCCTCTCAACCCTCGTTTACAGATTCTTCTTCAGGTTTGAATTTAGTTTTTCCTGGTGGTTTTTCAGCGTATCTTCATCTGCCAGTGAACAACTTAGCCTAACATAAGCAAGCCTCTAAGAAACTGACTTTAGAAATTTGGCTCTTTTGAGTCTGAGACCGGAGCCCCAGGACGAGAGAACTCTGAAATGATTGTCCTTCAAGAAGCCCCCTTGGGGAGCCGTTTTGGTGGCCTGCAAACCCTGTTTCCAGCCTCCAGGAGGACACAGCTGGGGCTTGGGGCTGGGAGCCGCTCTGTGGCTGTCACTCATTTCCACCTTCCCATCACCCCACGGGGCCTGTCACAGGAGAGGGAGGAGGAGCTCCCTTACACACACCCCACATACACACCCCACACACACCCCACACACACCCCACACAAACACCACACACACACCACACACACACACCACATACACACACCCCACATACACACACACCCCCCACACACAAACACCACACACACACCACATACACACACACACCACACACACACCACATACACACACCGCACACACACCACACACACACAGACACCACACACACACACCACATACACACACACCACACACACACACCCCACATACACACACACCACACACACACAGACACCACATACACACACACCACACACACAGACACCACATACACACACACCACACACACACAGACACCACACACACACACACACCACACACACACCACATACACACACCCCACATACACACACACCACACACACACCACATACACACACACCACATACACACACACCACACACACACACCCCACATACACACCACACACACACACCCCACATACACACCACATACACACACACCACACAGACACTACACACACACACACCACATACACACACACCACACACACACACAGACACCACACACACACACACACCACGCACACACACCACATACACACCACATACACACAGACACCACACACACACCACGCACACACACAAACATACACACCACATACACACACCCCACACACACATACACCACACACACACACACCACATACACACCACACGCACACACACGCACACACACCACACACAGACACCACACACCACACACACACCAGGCAGAACTTCCTCCAGGTGGTGCTGGGCACCCTCTGAGACTCAGAACAGCTCGCCCTGCCCATACACCTGAACACACACACGGAATATCCAGTAGAGGCCACTCTCCTAGAGGTATGAAGAGGCAGGACTGACCCTCAAATGGGGGGAAGGGTCAAGTTCAGTTTAACCCCCAAAAGACAGTGTGAGGACTCTGGGTGGTGGGGAGGAGCAGGGGCAGGGCGGTGGGACTGAATGCAGTCGTGTGCATGCACACCAGGCCTGTCTCGCCACTGGACTGCCTGCTCGGTGGCTGTGAGCAGGGAGTGCCGTCTCCCTGGACCCAGCACAGTGCCTGTCCTGTCTTCTGTGCTTGCGCATGTTTGCTAAAAGGGGGCTGCCCACAGGCCTGCTCCCACCCGTTCTGCCTGCCTCCTTCTCTTAGAGGCAGTCCACGGGGCTTTGGAAGAGCCTAGCTGTGTTATTCTTTAGGTTGGCCCACTGTTGCCTTACGTGAGTTGAGGAAGGCGTGGGAGGAAAGGAGTCAGAGGGGAATAGGGCCTGGGCAAGGCCCTGGAACCTTTGATGTTCACCAGCTGCTCAGGTCGAAGTGCCTGTGAGTTTGCCTCTGGCCTGTTATTGTATTTTTCTGTAACAGCTGACTGCTCTGAAAGACAAAGCTGTGGCTAGGGCCCTGTACTTGGGGAGGCTGGGTTCTGGGGACAGACCCCCTTTCCTGCATTCACTGTCACAAGCCCGGCACCGGAGCTTATTAGAGATCAGACGCAGGGGCGGAGGTGTCAGACCTGTAGGGACCACTCCTGCCCCCCAGCTTCTGCCTGTATTCTCTACTTCCCTAATTTCACTGTGCTTTTATTGCTTGAGGCTGTCACCAGGTCTGGCTTCTCCCTGCCTGAGAGCCCAGGGACCCTGCCACCCAGGCTTTGCTGGGGAGCTTCCTGTCTTTGCCCAAGAAGGCTCAGAACTGAGGCTCCTGAGATAGCTAGAGGAAGCCTTGGGGAAAAAGAAAGTTCATGCCTGACCTCTCTGCTTTCTCGCTCAGTGGAGCGGCACCCCTCTCCCCCCAACCCTTGGGCAGGGGCTCCTGTCAGTGACTGAGTGGGAAGGAGCTGGTCACACTTTGAAGTAGAGGCGGAGCTGGGAAACAGGAATTAGCCACGAGGAAAGCTGGAGTAATAATAGGATGGCCGAGCTGCTCTAGTAGCAGGCATGCCGCTGGGCGGGCTCAGGTCTGGAGGACAATGTACAGGAGACTCCCAGGTCCATCTGGGTCAGTTCTGGTTCGGGACTGCAACAGTCCAATTGCAGCTCCAAATCTGGAGGCCTGTTTGGGACAGAGGCAGTAGAATCAAATCCCTAAGCATTCTCTGAAGTACTTTGACCCTCTCTCCCCTGTGGTGGGTGGAGTTCCCCACCCACAACCTGCTCCAGTACAAGGACCCTCCTCCCAGAGAATACAGGCATGAGGGAATGTCACACAAACACCACACCTGAACCATGGGACAACCTAGATCTCTTGCCCTTGCTTCCAAGCTTCTTCCTTCATTCATTCAACAAATCCGTACCGATATAATTCAGCCAACATCCTTATGGTGAATGTGCTTCCAGTGAACTTTTCTCCAAGTGAGAGTGACTGCCTCCTGTTCAGTACCGTCCATCAGACTTCCTAACATCCCAGTTTGTTGCCACCATGGGCAGAGAGGCAAGGCTGCTTGGGTCCAAACTGCCCCCCAAAAGTACAAAAGTCTATGAAAAGTTAGAAGTCAGCTCTGGTGTGGATTCATTGTCTTGGAATTGATGGGAAGTAAGTTTGCTCTAACTTGCTTCCAGGTGCAAATGTTTCTTCCACACTAGCGTACTGGTTCTGAAAGCCTGCTTCCACACTAGCATACTGTTTCTGAGTGCCACTGTGCGCTGGTTTGAGAAGTGGTTCTGCACCCTGTGTTTGGCTTCCTCTGGTGGAAGGCAGCACACTGGCCCCACTGGAGTTCTATTTTCTGGTCGTTTCTCTGGCTGAGCCCAGCCTGTGTCCCCACCCCTTACTTTCAGTCCCAGGGCCCTGTGCAGGCTGAGGTTAAGTGTTGCTCTTGAAGGGAATGGTGGGGCTGGGGGCTCCCAGAAAGGGAGCTGCTGCAGCCTGTCCCCCATGAGACAGGCTTCAGTCTCCAGGCTGGACGTCTGTTCTGTGGCCTGTGTGGGCATCCAGGCACTCTTACTGGAGAGGGCATGGCACACCTGCGGGCCCCCAGGGTGTGCACTTGGTCGGTCAGATGGCCCTGAGGGGAAGGGCAGGAGGTCAGGAATACCTGAGGTCTGCTCCCACGAGTCTCAGCCAGCAGCCAGCTCCCCCATCCCTCTCTGCTTCCTCCTGTTCTGCCTGTTTCCCTCCTCTTTCCTCGTGGTCAGCATTCTTCCTTTGCCTGCCTGCTCCTTTTCTCTCTCAGCCTTCTCCTGCCCTCTTCTCTAAGAGCAGAATGCCCACCCAGCTTCTGCAAGCCTCAGTTTCCTTATCTACCAAATGGGAAAAAGAATGATAGCGTTTGTGTTAACCAAATTATTATAATTAACAGGGGCCTAGCACTTGCATGACACGTAGTTTTCACTCAATAAAATATGAGTTCCTTTTCTTTTACCTCCTATGTATTTCCTTTTCTTTCATGGTTTCTCTCAGTGTCTCTGTTCTGTCTCTCTCCTGTTTCTGTCTCCTCCCCTCCTCTGTTCTGTCTCTGACCTCCATTCACTCCCCCTTATTTCCACCCCCTGCCCTCCTGCAAGCCTGCAGGCCCATGGTAGCCAGGTGCAGCCAGTGCTGACAACTGGAGCAGGGCTGGGCGGGCAGGTGGCAGTCTTGGCTTCTCACCGAAGGCCCAAGAATGTGTGGAGTCTGGAGGGACAGTGGGAGCCTGCGGCAAGAAGGATGGAGCCTCTATCCGGGCAGGAGAAGCTTTCCACATCCTCGGCTCGGCTGAATGGGAATACCGGGGGCCGGAGCAGGGGAGGCCCCCCCCCCCCCGGGTGTAAGACATGGGGGACCTGCAGGGCTCCCCAGCGTTGCTAGTGTCTGTTGGCGTTTCAGAGAGAGCTCAGACCTCAGAGGTGACCGTGTCTTTCCCTGGAGGGGCCTGTCCTGGGGAGCAGGACCAAGGAGGCCAGCGGCCTGTGCGGTGGTTTCTGTGTATCTCTCCTTGGATTGCCTGGGCCCTACCCAGTCATCACCCCCCACAGAGCTTCAGATGGTTCAGAGGCAGCCACAAAGGAGACAGGAATAGAGGGGGTGTGGCCTTAGCTTGAGAGGGTGAATCCCTGGGGTTCTCAGCAAGTGGTGGTCTTTCAGCCAAAAGCAGGTTCTCAAGCCTGGAGGAAGCAGGAAAGGAGGTGAGGCCTGGTGACCTCTTTCCCTTCCTGCACATTCCAAGGAGCTCTGGACTGGCCAGTACCTGAGACTTGATACCTGTTCTTTCCCCTCCGCCTGCCTCCAATCCTCCTGGCTCCAGAAGTGCCTGTGGAGAGGGGCTGCCTGCTCCCAGAGCTTCCCAGGGGCTTCCCAGGTGGACTGGGGCTGGCAGGCCCGGGGCTGAGCCTGTCCCGCGCCCCAGAGTGGGCAAGCCAGCCCTGGGTCCCAGCTGCGGCCCAGGAACCCGAGGGCAGGACCCACCCTGAGCGGGTCTGAGGATGTCTGAGATAGAAAGCAGGCGGGCAGTGCCAGGCCGGAGGATGTGGAGGGCCCTGGGGCGGAGCGGTGAGTGTGGAGAGAAGCTCCGCCGCAGAGACAAGGGAGGGGCAGGCGGGCAGGAGAGGGGCCCCCAGGGAGCTGCCTCAGGTCTCCTGCCAAAAATTAAACCATAAAAAGGCTGGAGGGGAGCAGCGGGGGGAGGATGGAGAGAAAAGAGGTGGGGAGGGAGGGAGGAGACCAAGCAGCCCCTCCACACCAATAGCCCGGCGGGGGGGGGGGGGCGGGGAAGTGAGTAATACATGGCTGGTTCAGAGGCAGTGAGATCAAAAGCCAGCAGATACAAGAGGTTTGTGCTTCACCGACCAGACAGCCAGAGGCTCAATGAGACCTTTGTTACCCAGGCCCGAGTCAGGGTTGAAGGAATACCTGACCTCCTGGTCCTGCCCCCATCCCGCCCCCGGCGGGGGTGGCCAGCCAGGTCCTCACTCGCAAGTCAAGTTTAGCGGGGCACCGCTAGGCGGGCCGCGGTGGGCGGGCAGAGGAGCAGGCCTGCCCTGGGGGTTGGGCCTGGAGCTTCTGGGGGTAAGTGGAGACCGAGTGGCTGCCGGAAGGCAGGAAGTGGCTCTGCGGGATGTGAGGGAGACCTCGGGGAGACCTCGCGGACAAGGGGCCCCGCTGGGCCCACCAGGTGAGCAGCCCCTTGGACCCCAGCCCAGGGCCCAGAGTCCCTTGGGAGGGGACTGCGGGCATGACATTTGGTGCCCACAGGTGTTTACAGGTCCTGAGTCTGGGGTTTGGGGCCCCGTGGGAAAGGAAGGGCAGGGAAACCAAAGGCTTTTGGGGTTGGGGGTCGATGACCCAAGTTCAGGTGAGAGGTTGGCCCCAAGTTTGGGCAAGGCTGGGGTGCACTGTGTGGGGTTGCTGGACATGTGGGCGGCCCAGGTGAAGGAGGCCTCGCTGCCAGGGTCCTGCAGAGAGAGCCAGGGAGCCGGCCCCGAGGCTGGCTGAGGGGCTGCTGCGGGGGTGCTGCTGCTCCCTGACAGACACAGGGCTGGATCTGGTCCTGAAGTCTCTTCCCGTCCTGTTGGGGGTCCCTGAACGAGGTCAAGGCCAGCTCAGGGATCTGAATCCCTTGGGGCTTCCCTGCAGTCATGCCCTCCAAGGCTGATGCAGGCCCACAACTGACCTATCACAGGAAAGGGAGTGAAGAGACAGTACTTGGACTTCGAGACCATCTTTTCTGGGGTCCCGAGACCTTGGTTCATCTCAGCTGAGCTCTTCACCCTAGTTCTAGAGGTGCCTGGTCAACCACACATCCTTCCAGTGAGAGAGGCAGAGCACCAGGAGCCCTCTCCCCCAGCACCGCCCAGGGATGGCCCCAAAGCTAGCTGCCCTCGGCTGCAGTGATTTCGAGGTCAGGCCTTTTCCTGCCTCCACTGAGCTCTGAAAACAGATCCCTCTCCCCAACTCTGGGGCCACCCAAGAATGGATGCAGTTGCTAGCCACCTGCACAAGTCTAGGAAGTGTGGGCTGGCCCCCAGCCGTGGGGTTGCTCGAGAAACTTGCTCACCCCTGTAAACCCAGGCCCTCCTCTGTCTTCGCTTCCCGCGGCTGGACTAGAAAGGGTTAAGCTTTGTAAGGCGAGAGCCCAGTATGGGACTGGTCCTGAGCGCTGAGCAGTGGCGCTGAAAGATCCGGCCTTATTCTCTAGAGGAGGAGGTAGTTAAGGACCTTGGGCAGGGGGCTGGAGGCTCATTAAGGACATTTGAGGAGGTCCTTTATGGCCAGGAAGCCACCCCTCCTCATACCCCAGAGTGAGACCCATTGTGTGGGGCCTTTGTAGGGTGAGAACTGGAAACTCATTACTGGGATGGCTTTAAAGCCGCTGAGGCCCCGGCAGGTGGTGAGGGATGGTGAGAGAATGTAACTTGGGGGGCCCCTGTACGTCCGGGGAGGCGGTGTGGGAGGGTCGGTGGGAAGATGAGTGAGCACTCCCTAGAAACCTCCAGCTCCCTTTTGAGATTCCTGCCGCTGGACCGCCCCCTCCCCCCAGCTCTGCTGTGGCCTATGGCTTTTCATTCCTATGTGATTACTGTTCCAAACTCATGTAGGGCTAAAAGCCATGGGCTACAGTGAGGGGCGCGCGCCTACTCCCACACCACCCGCATCCCCCCGCCAGGACCAGGCTGGGGAGCAGCCACAAAGCAGGTACCGAGGGGGCTCCCCAAGGGGGCAGTGCATGTGGGGGTCTGGTAACCTGGGATCCGGAGGCTGTGTGACCTTGGCCAAGTCACTTCCCTTCTCTGGACCTGGTCTCTCACTCAGATAAGAAGAGGCTGGACGAGCGATTCCCCAGGGAGGCTACCTCAGCACAGAAGGAAATGTTCAGGGGTGCTGGGGTCTCTGGGCTGGTGCGTCTCCCCTTGCCAAGTTCCAGAGGCCTGTCGTGTTCTCAGAGATCGGGCGGCTAGAATCGGGGCGCTGGACCACATAGCACTCTGGCCTCTGCCTCCAGGCTTGGTGACGTCTCCTGTCAGCTCGGGATCCTCAGCCTTTTTCTGTGTGAGAGAGACCTCAGGACTTCTCAGGGGCTGAACTGGGAGAGCTTAGGCAACAGAATGAAGCTGGGAAGGCTTGAGTTGGTGCAGAAGTTCCTGCCCATCCAGGCGCTTACAGCCCTCCTTCTGGGTCTCTGGATGGCGCCTGCTCTCCTTCTGCCCTCCTGCCTGTCACCCCTCTTGCCAGGCTCCCCAGAGCTCTGTCTCCTTTTGTGCTTAACCTGCCTGACTCCATCCTGGAAGATGCCAACACATGGAAATATGGCAGCCTGGCTAGAGAGCAGAGGAACCACCTTCTCCTCTGTCCCCCTTCCAGCCCCTGGTCTGTCTAAGACCACTGAAGGATCAGAGGGTACTCTGTTTGGTATTGAGAATCAGAAGGCAAGCTACTTATAATGTCTCAGAGCCCTTAATTTCCCCGGCCAGCATTTACCTGCCACGTACCACGCGTGATTCTAACTTACCTGGTCTAACTCATTTAATCCTGAAAACAACCCCATGAAAAGGATACTGTTACTATCCCATTTTACTTACGGGAAATCCAAGGCACAAAGGTGCTAAGGAACTGGCCCAAGTTCGTGTGGTGAGAAAGGGGCAGGCCTGCCTGGGATTCAAATGGATGCTCTCACCACATCATGCTGGGTGCTGGGAGAGCCTGCAGGCGAGGGCACGGGAAAGTGCTGCCTCACACCGGGGCCTCTCCTCACCAGGCCTCTGTAGGAGGTACTTCACAAGTGGCCCCAAGGTGCAGCTCTAATCACCCTTTGTCTATCCCGGGTTTTCCTTTTCCATCAGAAGTGAGGGGGGGAATGAAAACAATGGGAGAAGCGAAGAGAAAGCCCGAGGCAGCTGGGTTTTTCCTGGGGCTCATCCAAGCCACTTCCCCTCTTGCCCCGGCTTAGATGGTGCAAGAACAGGGATGAGAATTTGCCAGGGTTTCCCACTTTCCCCCTGAGTTCCCTTGGCCAGAGATCAGAGAGGGGCTGGCATCTCCTTCCCTGCCTCCCTCCCGTGAGCCTGTGCTGTTTCTCTGGGACATCCAGGCACCTGATTCTCTCCCTCTAGCTCCCGTCTCCTAAATTAACAGGGGTTGGAGCAGTGCCCCCTTCCTGCCTAAGGCTGAGTCTTTCCCAGGAATCCTGTTGCACAATTTGCCAGGAAGGCCCTGGACACAGGGCTGGGCCTGGGAAGAAGGGGACAGATGACCCCTTCAAGGATTATTATCCCTCTGTGATGCTCCAGCAAGGCAGACTCTCAGCAGGGGTTGCTGGGTAAATGTTTGCTGAATAAATCCTGAACCGGGAGAGCAGGAGGGAGGGGTCGAAGCCACTAACAGGGGCACAGGAGCAAGCCCACCTCTCACCTGAGAGTCCCCCCTTGCAGAGCCTGGGCCTGGGTGCTTCTGGGGTTACAAAACTGCAGCTCCTTTCTCTTCTTTGTCTCTTGGCCCCTGCCAGTGGGGCAGGCCTGGAAGAGATAGGCAGTTAAATATTTCACATAACCGTTGAACTGTACTGAATAGGCGAGATGGCCTCCTGCCCTCTCCCCAACAACGAGCAGATCGGAAGGCTGCGTCTGTCCTGTCCTCTGCCTGCAGACTGCTGAAACCTAAAATACTCTGAGCAATCTAAGCCTTTTTCACAGTCTTCAGAGCTACCCAGCATAAGGCCTCCCTGGGGAGAGTGGGCCCGTGCTTAACGCTGCTGAGTTTCAAGTGAATCTCTCTGGCCATATTCGTCCCGTTTTTAGTGGAAATGGAGTTGTACTTCTAAAACTCTGCTTTCTGAATGCAAAGACTATCGAAAAAAAATCTCTGCCCCATCTTTAGAAGGGGGTGGCATTAAAGTTTGACATTTGGGGGCCCA